ACTTCACATTAATATCAAAACAACCTGGTCTTTTCCACAACTAAAATTGGTCTCTTGTGAAGCTTTATTCCTATTTACGCAAAGCTATAGCTTTAACTGGATATACAGCAGATTTCTGGCAATTACTCCTCTTCCCCACATGGACCTCTCCAGACAGATGTTGAACTTAAAGCTTGGTCCACTAATACATGGAGCCCAGGAGAAATCTCTCCAGCTGTCAGCAGTAGCAAACTCTTATGCTGTGCACTGAGAAGTTTTGATATGAGTGAAACAGCTTTCCAACTTTTTACATGAGAAAATTAATGTCCTATGCAAGCCTGAAGTTTTAATCTGGTTTTCTAACTCAGCAAGATGTACACAGCCAGGCTTTGTGTGCACTTCTACACATTTTTTAATCAGTTGTTGATGCACTCCAAACTCTCAGAGAAGCATGCAAATTTGCTGACAGTTTAGTGACAGAACAGGTACGAAGAGCTCTGCAAGACTCTGAATGCTTCAGTCAACTTCTCTTAAAAGAAAAATAAATAAAAGAGCAACTGCATCACATTACTGGTCACAAGAAAGAGGGAAAGCACTCATCAGTATTTTAACTGGGGAAGGGTTTGACTCTAGTAGACACAAATCTCTGGTAAATCAGCTTTCATCAGTCCTGGAGTTTCTCAAACAAGACAAACACCACATGGAATGGTCACAACTCCAGTGTGCTTTATTGAGCTCACCCTGCTGGCTCTGATGGGATCGCAGAAGCAACAGAATCCAGCCACATGAACCAGCTGGGTGCTCTGCACCTCCTGCCCTTGCAGGTGGAATGCTCATCACAGAGCGGATCACACAGCCAGCAGGATACCCAGACTGAATGGGTCTGAGTGGGCAGGTGCCCCACAGCATCCCACTGCTCCATAGAGTGGAGGGGTCATCACCTGGAGGTCTTTGGATGAGGCCAGTCTGTGGCCAGCATCTCCACAACCACTAAATGAGCATTTGACATCCCATACCACTCATGGATCTCATTAAACCACTGCCAAAAGTAGGTAAATGTTGTTATGCATATTTCTGTTTCTTTCAGTGAAGCTTATTTCTGCCAGGTCAAACATTGTATTTCTTTATCCATTCATTCTTTTCCCTCAAAAACATTTGCAACTTTTGTAGAAGTTTCATACTACAGCCTGGAAGAAACCAACAAAGGGCACAGGTCCACTACTTACACTGACTACTGAACCACTGCACAATCTCAGATTACTCCCATTTCAGGTGCTTTCCATCAGAAATAAATATGATATGCATAGCTCCTCACTGCTGAAAAGCACCAGGAGATTTCAAGTAAAAATTTAAGTGGGATCAAACTGTTCCATCAGTAATCACATGGAATTGGGTACAATATGAGCCTTTGAAAGGCTCTTTGGTTTCCCATTGCAAAATTACAGACTTTCATCCTATGGATTAAAGTACAAGAGTTCTGTAAACACTGTTTATCATCTGAAAAAAAAAAAGATATCCCAAGGTTAATTTAACAGCAAGAACTAAATAAGTAGTGTATATTATAGTTGTAGATTTGATTTTCCATACACCTTGATCAGCACTAGGATCCAACAGTCACGAGTCATTGCTGAGCCATGAACCCAAGCATTTGCTTGCAACCCACTGTTGCTTAAGGAATTATCATTATTACAGTGTATGGGGACAAACACATTCAAATAGAAAAGCAAACAGGAAAATAAACAAAGAACGTATTCAAGCAATGACCTGTCAATTCAAGAGCTAGATTATGCTCAAATGCACACAAGATACAAACGATAATGAACAGTAACAAGGGATGCAGACAACCCATCTAGTGAGTCACCAATTCAGTCCTCTAAGTGTTCCCGATGCTCAGAGGAAAGACATTTTAAAAGCTCAAATGCAAATCTGTTCCCATTGAGTGGCTGTTCCTTGGCAAAGAAGGAATGACAGGAGCTCTACCAATGACACCACAGGAAACACTCCTTGACCCTTTCCAGCTTATGGAGATAAACAGCGAACTTCCTAACCCTGACAAATTAACTTTGAATAAGAAACTCTGACATCAAAGTTACCATCTAAATTGCCCAATTGCACAGTCAGAAATTCTTATTGAAAACATCTTTATGTATAGATTCATGAAGGCTATGAAAATTTTTGCTTGAATAAGGAGAGTAGAATTGAACTCAGCATCTCTGAACTATTTCATGGTAATAAAACTCTCCATTCAGAGGAGCTCAGAGAAAGCACTAAAATCTACATACATTTCATGAAATAACTTCTCAGATTTGGTTCCATTAACTTCACTCAAATGCCTACTCAGCAGCCACAAGAAGTTCAATCTTACCAGACTGAACAAAATAAAACCATGGCAACAATTTCTGGCAGACTCAGCATATCTATGTAATGGTATTATACCAGCAACTATTGACACAAACAAGATTCATGAAGGCTATGAAAATTTTTGCTTGAATAAGGAGAGTAGAATTGAACTCAGCATCTCTGAACTATTTCATGGTAATAAAACTCTCCATTCAGAGGAGCTCAGAGAAAGCACTAAAATCTACATACATTTCATGAAATAACTTCTCAGATTTGGTTCCATTAACTTCACTCAAATGCCTACTCAGCAGCCACAAGAAGTTCAATCTTACCAGACTGAACAAAACAAAACCATGGCAACAATTTCTGGCAGACTCAGCATATCTATGGAATGGTATACCAGCAACTATTGACACAAACGTGGTGAACTGAACCAGCACCTGTTCAACCTCTGATTAATGCTTTTGCACAGTGAAGGATTTATGGGCAGCTTTAAGTGGGTCTGTAACTGAACACACAGTGAGCTACGTGGGTGATATACGTAATTACAGATGGTTTTGCATCACCAGTTGCAGACCACGCTAAAGAGAGTGAAAAGAGAACTCAGGCAAATACAAACCCTTAAAAATTCTCTTAAAACAGCCAAACTTGAGTCTTTTCCTCATAGCACATTTTGCTTCATGAGGAGATCACCCTTATGTTATTCCAGCCCTTTCAGTACAGCTTGGCTGTAAATAACAGCTGAAAAAATACGTGTTCATGAAAGCAGAAGAAGGTGGAAATAAAGCAACAGAAAAGGATAACATGAAAGAGGAGCTTTCCTCACAGCGCTGCAGGAACACTGCTCTACTCTGCTGAAGGACTGAAATCCACAGCTCCTGCTTGTTTTTAAGAGGGTTTTAAAAGCTGATGATAAAATTATCAGAATTTAAAAAAAATAAAAAATCAACAACTTCATTTGCTTGTCTTTTAATCAAAACATTAATCAGAAGGCCTAAGTGATGATTGCCTCCTGCTTTCAGCCTGACTGGAGCAGGCTGTTCATGGGTTTCACTCTTGGCAGTGCCAGGGAAGGTAGGCTCGCACAGGTAGGCTCGCACACCACGCTCACTTCCCATCACCTGATCTGATTCCAGAGCAGAGGACAGCAGCCAGACACAGCTCAGGCACTCCCTGGGACTCCAGTAAACATGGGACCCACAGCAAGAGAGCCACTTTTTAGTAATGGCACCTTTATTAGCACAAACACGCTCACAACTGTTAATGCAATATTAATTATCGGGACTAGGAGATACCCAGCAGAAGACTAAAAATTGCCTTTGCTGGAACACAATTCATTTAGATGATTTATGGAGTTCTTTATTGTTAGCGTCACAAGAGCTTTTTCAAAACAAGAGAAATCATTAAATCCCATAAAACACGGGCTATCGCCGCCGTTAGCTGGTAATTTATATCCTTGCTCGTGCCATTTATATCCCTAAATGGAGCTGATAAAACAAAAATTAGTAAAGCGTGTTGACGGAGAGCATCTTGCAGCATCCCGGAGGGAAGCACGGGATCCATCCCTCCTTCCCAGCAGGAATTTCTCCCCCCTTGCATCCCAGGACCCCGGGGATCCCCGATATGGCCAGAAATCAGGCTCAGCCCTGGAGAGCTGCTGGTGAGGGGGAGGCAGAAGGGAGGAGAGTTCATTTGCTTTTAGAGGGAGAACCTCATTATTACATACCACCCCCCGCCCGCCCCGGTTTTCCCTCCGGGAATTTTAACTACTTCTCTCTCCTTTTTAAAGGAAAATCTTAAAAAAGCTTTTGTGTTCTGATTTTCTATGGCTTTGGTGGTTTTGTTTTTTTGGTTTTTGGTTTTTTTTTTTTTCCAGGAATCCTGCTGGGTAGACAAAGTGCAAGGTAAGAAATAATTTTTAGCAGAGGATTGGTGGTTTTAAGCAGTTACCGAATAACAGCCAAAACATGTGCACAGTCAAGAAACTCCTAAATCCTGAGCAGCCAGGGAGAAGGAATGTATGTTTTAGTGATGGAAATCACGCAGACGTATTAGAAATTACTCGGAAGGACGGGAGAACAGCACCGAAAATGCAAATAAATCAGCTCAGATTCTACAAAAAGAAAAGCTGCTGATAACCCTGAGCAAATGCTGCTGCCTCAAAGACAGAAATAGCTCCCTTACCTTATTCCTAATCCTTGTTTGCACCTGCTCTGCAATCATAAATACTTCGAGGTGCTTAACATGGAGCTAAATTGATGGCTGAATTTAAGAATTTCTTCGTACACTTCATTTACAGATTAAAAGGAGATTTTTTTTTTTTAGGATCGTCCTCCTCAGCATCCATTAGCTTCCCAAAGAATTCCCATTTTCTTGTAAAAATTAAAAAAAAAAAATGCAAAAAAAAAAAAAATACAGTACGTCTATATACAACCGAGCGCTGTAACAGATCCAAAAAGCCGGGAGCGGGGGAATCTGAGAGGTGTCACTACAAACTTGGCAAGCAAAACGTATCCTCAGCAGGAAGGAGAGAGAGAGAAGAGAAAAAAAACCCCGCAAATCAAAATTCCCAGGGAGATTTGATGGGGGGGGGAGGGAAAAAAAACCAAACCACCAACCAACCACAAAAAACAAAACCCAAAAGGCAGGGAGGAAAGACGCGTGAGCAGAGCACAAATGGGATGGCGGGGTGTCTCCCAGCCAGCCGCCCGTCTATCCATCCATCCGCCAGCCCAGCGAGCAGCCGCCGCCGCCGCGCCGGAGCCGCGCTCCGCTCCCCGCGGCACCTCCTGCGCGCTCACACCGCGCCGTGCGCGCCCCCGCGGGGGATGCGCGGCCCCGCCGGGGTGGGGGGGGACGCGCAGAGTTTGCCCCGCTCCGGGCGCGCCGAGGTGCGGGCGGTCCGCGCTGCCCCCGGCCGCTGCCGCACGCTCCGCCGCTGCTCCTCCCTGCCCATCGCCCTCCCTGCCCAGGCAGCCGGGCGCGGGGTGGGTTAGGGAAGGTCAGACGGGCGCGGCTGTCTCTGGGCTTTCAGCCCTGAAGGCAAACACTCCCCAGGATGCTGTTCCCAGCAGGAATACCGGCCCTGGCTCTCTGCTGTGTTTCCCATGCAACCCTCACCCCATCTGGCAGGGCACCCAACAGGCCGTGGATGCAGGCACATCCCCTCCCATCTCTCACTTCCCCGCTCTCCTTTTTTCCCCCCCTGACCTGGTACAGATTTCATCTGAGTCTTTCCAAGACCTTTAATTATTCTATTAATGTGCACCCATAAATCTTCCAGAGCAGCATTTCATTAGGCAAACAGCAATATACAGTCCAGGGATGTAAACACAGGCGCCAGGGGCTGGAGAGGGAGGAGATTACACACTGAAGGCATAGCAAAAGCCAAATCAGAATTGGTCAGTCTTGTTATCCAGGGCTTTTCTAAAGAAGTTTTTCTATGAATTTTTTTTAAATCTAAAAACAAGTTCCCTGGGAGCCACTTGTGTCAGTAGATCACCAGGTTACTAGAACAAGCCCCAGTATACAGCACTGCAACAAGTCTCTCTGTGAGCCCTTTACAAGCTTGCACTCAGAATAGAGAGGGAAAACAAAATAAAAAGTTCACAATCTTCTTAACTAGTAGTGGTTCACAGCCATATCATTTGCATATTTCAGCGTTTGAAAAGCAATTTATTTGGGGTTTTTTCTCCTTGGCAAATTGGGAATCCCAAAATGGCATCCTGAGTGATGGAGACAAAATATGGGTCCATCCAACCAGGGCAGTAAACAAACCTCCTGGCTCACTTGGGGGATCACACATGTACTGTGCAGGCAGTGGGATTTATAACTCATTTTATCCCTCACAAGGTGAATGGAAGAGGTTATCAGGGATGTGCAAGGAGATGACTGTGGAAAAACTTCAAGGGGAAGTATAAGAATCAAAACAGATCTTAAGTACGGGTGCACAGGAGGCAGAGACAAGGAGGGGGGAAGGCAAGAGATGCTGTGAGATCTTCCTAGGCAAAGTGGAAGAGTGGGAAGAAACAGAGGAAAAGGGTAAACTCTTTAGTGCTTGCTCAACTGGGAAATATGTCCTCGTGAAGGACTATTTCACACAATATTTTCCAGCAAGGAAATCAAAATCACTTCCCAGCAATTGCTTATTGTTGAATTTTGAGGGCTGAAGGTGAAGGGCATTAAAATCTCTTAAACCCATTTTCTCCAACAAAAGAAGACAAAAAAACCTCTAAAAATTAATGATTAATTTAAGGCTGAGTCCAAGAAAGATTCTTCCCAATTATTGTATGAGATACACATGTTTACAGTAAAACCAAATACCACATCTGAGAAATCAGTGCAAGTGGAAGAACAGTTTTATTCCTTAATGGCCACGTTGGATGCAGAGCCATCTGGAAATCCTGTAGAGATTCCAAAGACAGCACCTGTTTGTCAAACATGATGCAGTTCTGAAGTCCTCAGGTAGCGTAACTAACAGGGTTCCAAACCAGAATGCTTTCCCCAAAGTCCAGTGCGTGAAAATATTTTGTTTCAGTTTTCAAATTAAACAAGACCTTGATTTATCCTCTGGAGCAATGCTTGTGACTTTGGAATATGCAATCTCATCTTTAGCTGCTGCTGAATGGCTGCTACAGCAAGGGCAGATGCTCCCATCTGCAGTGTGGCACTGGGTGGAGCAGAACAAGCCCCAAAAATGGGTCGGCAGATGCAGCCCCTCTACTGCACCTCTGAGGGTGTCTGGGAAAGGCAGCCCCCTCCCCACATGTGCACCACAAACAGAGGTGGCCACATTTTTCCACACGCTCAGGTGGAGCCATGGATGTTGTGAGGAGAGAAGACCTCCAGAGAGAAAGGACAGAGCTGGGAGCAGCTGTTCCTACAGCACAGCACCTTCTGCAGCACGGGATTTTCAGCTGGGAACATTGCATTTGTTTTAGCTTGGGAAAATCAGCCATCAGCCCTTCACCTTCAGTGCCAGCACTGGCAGCAGGGGAAGCCCTGCCCTGGGGCAAACACAGAGGGGACAGGAAGGCAGGCGTAGGGGAGAGCTCTGCCTGTCAGGAAGATGAGTCAGACACGTTTCTGAAGTGACTGTTAATTTGGCATTCCCATCTTGAGAAGCAGATTTAACCTCCTGGCCAATAAATTATCCACATAATCCCCACCACTGCAATGCCTGAATTCCTTAAGAGCTTTAAACTGGGCATCCAGATGATGAAGTTCACAAAGTCCCTGTGTAAGGCTGGTGGATCCAGGCTCACTCAGGTTCTGCAAGGCGTGGAAACTCAAATGTAACACGGCCTCACATATCAGTTCTACCTTTCAGAATGAGGGTGATTTGTCAGGATTAGCCTCAGGGGTATTTCTAATACCTTCCCTTTACTTGAAGTGATTAAACAGGATTGAAAACATATTCCAGCCTCTTCTAACTCCTACATCTTTTGCTGGGGATTTATATTGAAGGGAAGATGCTGTAAGGCAGCAAGTACCTAATACATCTCCCAAGGACAACATAAAGTCACTTTATTAATAAAAGTTTACCCTTCCCCATCTTGTAATAGTAGTTCTTTGTTACCACGTGAGTCTTGCCACATTAACACTCAACCACAACCACCCCACCAAAATGTAAAAAGAATAATGAAAAATAGTTCTATGGTTTACTGACCAAAAGTAAAAAGACTTCCACACTTAATGTAATCATCTCTGCTTCTGTGAGACAGAGGAAATGAAGGTGCCCTAAACATGACAAACAGAAAATGATATGTACAAAAATAGGGGAATAGAACTGCATAATAAAGCTGTCTTTTGTGACTGTCCAAGGGAGACTGAAAGGGCTGAAAATGAATTGCAGAAAGGATGACTTTGAAAAGAAATTGTCAGCTTGCTTAGTTCCAAAATTCACATCCTCATCCACAACCTTTAGACAGAAAAAGTGCAGATGCCCAGGAGTTTTGAGACCAAGAATAAGACCTTTATGTTTTCTTTTTGGATTAATTACTTATTCACTACATGATTGTAGCTTAAAGTTTCATAACAGCAGAGGTACATAAGGATGCATATTAAATATCAATAAGTTATTGGCAAATATAGTAAAAGGAGTGCAATTTCATACTTTGGACTCTGAAAATGGTTTGACTTTCAAGGGTTCTGTGCAGCTGAAGGCCTCCTGACAGTAAATTCTGGAAAATTCTAGCTCAGAAACAATGCCCAACAGTTTCTTGAAGTGCTTAAACTTCAGTTTTCATTTTCTTTTATTTTTTTTTTGTTTGCTTGTTTTGACTATAAACGTTTATTTCACCTTCTTTGAATAATCCATACTAATCTCTAAAACAAATATTATCATGGTTCTAATAGAAGCAGGTGTGACTCCAAAGATATTCCATGCTTTTTTCCCTTGAATAGAATCTTAGATGCATCTAGAGTAATAGAATGGATGAAATACTGATGTGTTAAAATTTCAAGAAATTTATACCATACTAGGGCAGAAAATTAAAAATCTTATTTGAATTATTATAATCCACTCTGAGATTATTTTTAATATCAAAGAAGTTGTTGTCAAGAGTTAAATCAACCTCTTGAGCAACCTTAGAGGGAACTTCAAATAGCCACTGAAATATTGTTCTAACAATATAATGGAACACATTGGACATACTATAAGAAGATATTTCTGTGTTTAGTGGCCACTGTTTTAACAGGGTGAGAACATTTTCTTCCTTCTGTAGGTGAAAGGGCCTTCACTGAGTACCAAGAAAATAATGAATGGAAGCATTAAAATAAAGAAATTGCAAATATTCTACTGCTGAGATCCTGGGGCTTTCTGAGTGAATCTTTTTTGCTTTAATTCACTGATCCAGCATTTGCTTCTATTTCCCATATAAGCATTAGGATTCAAAGTGGACACATTCACATATGAAATATAACTCTTTAGACTCAATCATTTTAAACAATAATATTGTCCTTAGGTCACTTGTGTCACAAAGTTAAATTTCCATCTGAAATTTTAGGTACAGTAAGGGGAAAAAAAAGGAAAAGGCTTTTTGTGGGCCTGATTTGCCTCCTATGTAATCAGGATTATGCAGTCTCCCACTACAAGTTTCAGGTATTGAATCCAGATATCCAGAAACAAACCTCACAGATTAATATTTTGCCAGCAAGGCAAATAGACATTTCAGGGGATTTTTAAAAGCTGATAATTTTGACCCAATTTCCATCACAATTGCAGGCACCTGTGTACCCACACACAGTTTCCTAGGTAGCCTCTGTCAGCACTAATCATTAACAATCAAAACATCAAAATAAGACCCGAGGTTTTTACTGTTATATTTTAATACATTTAGATGTGGTGAAACAGTTAAATATGTTCTAATCTGACAAATCTCTACGAGCACATCTTGACACCACGAGTGTTCAAGCAAGGGCGTGAGCCTGTGAGGTGTTGGTGATTTCCCCGTCTGGTTCTCACAAAGGACTCAAGTTTGTTAATAAACAAACTTAAATCAAGGCCAAATTTGATCTCACTTAAAATAAACCTTCTTTTGAGTCATGATTTTTAAATCACATATCTTAAAACTCCAACTGGCCAGCAGCTAAGCTTTGTCCCCTTCTTCAATAATGATGGAAAAGTTCAGCTGCCCAGCATTGTCTGTAGCATGGAATAAAGGTATTCCAAAACCATACAAGAACTTTTGGATAGGAAACTTTGGTTTTTTACATCTGCATATCTTGTCACACATCCAAACTCTATCTAGAATTAAGCACATGGGTAAATCATGCAGATGTAAGTAAATCTCAATCAATGTTATTACCCCAAACACAAATTTGATGTATCTTCCAGGGAGGTAGTTTTTGAGGACTCTAAGTTCTATCTAATTTTGATTATTGAATATCTTAATACTTGACTGTAATAAAGCAGTGCAATTACTTAAAAGAAAATGAAAAATAAATGTGACCCTAAAAGTTCAGCCACCATGATAGAAAAGGGATG